CGCAAATATTACCACTCTCATCAGGTCCACAGCATCTGTAAGAGATGCATAATGAGACTGTGTGTGTGTGAGAGAGTAACTACCTCTCTCTCAAACATAATTTAAAGATGCATCAATGGAGGCAACACTGCATAGCGTGAGAGAGGTGTAAAATGTTCACACACACACTCTATAGTAATGAAATGCCATTCCCATAGGCTGTATATAAAAGATGGCATAGCTGTCGCGATGTAGCTGATTGGTCAATGAAGTCGTGTTTTGAAGGCTTGATTTAGAGCTGTTATTATTTTGTTTGTATTTGTTTTTTTAAAGAAGTGTTTCTTCCTCTGTCTGTGTGAAGCCACATTTTCACTGTAGTTTACAGACCCTGATATTAGCCCCCGACTTATAGAAGTGAAACGTCTCACTTGTGTGTTTCAGGCTCCCAGAGGACTGTCATGCAAAGCTGACCCACAGTCATCAGAATGAATTCGCTGCTTGGATGAAAGTCGCTCTACGTCTGATTGTGTTACACGTTTATGTTGCTGTGAAATGAATTACTGTGAAATACTTCAGATTTACTGCCCTCGCGTCATTATTGTTGCTTCATCTAAATAAGCACGGCACAAGTAACGACGTCTGAATGTTGTGTGAATGTTCATCCATTGGTTTCTGAAGTCTTGTTTAAAATGTGCATTTTCAACTTTGTCATTTTAGTTTAAAAAAACAGGTGATAAGGATGAGTGAGTGTTGCTCATTGGCTAACAACTTGTCAGCTATAAGTCGTTAGCCAATGGGAATTGACTATGTGCACGTTAGCATATGCTACTTCCAGTGTGGAAACTCCTGTGGGGAGCTTTGTTTCCGGTGTCCTATTCGCGCCCTGTTTACGGTCCAAAACAAGTTAAGCAAATGAATGAATCAAGCAGTGATTTACATTTCTATAGATGTCTCGGGCATTTACCCAATATATCTGTAAATGATGTTCATTGACTTGTCGATATTTTTTCCCTGCGCCTCAGAGCAAAAGAGAAAAGGGATTCAAATGTTATATTTCTCAGTATCTGTAAACAGCGGTCCCTCGTTTATCGCGGGTGTTATGTTCTAAAAATAACCAGCGAAAGGTGAAATCAAGTAGCCAATTTTATTTATTGACGATGCAAAACGTTTCGTGGTTATCGTGGACATACAGTACTGCACTTCAGAGTCACACTGCAGCGATTCTGTACTGTACAGGAGAGACGTCACGGAGGAGATTGTCTGCAGCGATCAGGACGCAGGACGCAGGACACAATGTGACGTAAAAAAAATAAGCATGCAAACTTGCACTAAAAAATCTGCGAAACAGCGAGGTGAAAGGTGAACCGCATTATAGCGAGGGACCGCTGTAATTTTTAAGGTAAGTCACAACATAGCGTTCGTACATACTAATGTTAAGAAACCGTTACCAGCAATCATTTGTGTGTGGGTTTTTTTCACGGTTTGTTGACATGCTGTGTAGGTGTGTACTTGACTAGCTGATATCGACATAACGGGGGGAAACATCTGGTTTGACTATTCTTCACCTGTAGTTTGAATGCTGAACATTTGCCTGTTTAAATCATAAGACCAGTCACTATACAGAGATGTGCTTCTGAATGTGGACGATGTGTCTTCTGCAGTAATGCAGTTCTGCTTGTGTTGAGTGATGTAAACATCTGATCGATCTAAACTCTTTAAACGTCAAAATTGATCATTAGATTTTTTTATGACACAACTTTCCGTTTTCGAGTTTTGGACATGATTTTGGAGTATATCTTCACAGTAGCGATTGACCGCAAAGTAAAGCTACTGGAAATGTACAACCCCACATCCGGTCTCAAACCAGGAAGTTAGCATTTTCTCGTGCACAGGGTCTATAATAATAACATTCTTTCTGAAACATAGAATGACCAAAAGTACAAATCGATTTCATTTTCTATTCAGCATGATCCAAAATGAATGACTGAGCCCACAAACACATCAGGAAAGTGTTGACAGAGGTCAAGTGAGAAAGCCATTTTCTTATAGACTTCTATAGGACTGGAAGTCTTTTATCAGCCACAGCTATTGCCATCTGGTGGCCTTCAGGTAGGTTGCAGGTTTAAGTATCTTCTGCATTGGCTTCACTTTCCCCACCTGGAAGCTCCATCCATCATGTTTTATTCTGTCTATGAGCTCGATTTACTTTTGGTGCCAGCCTCCAGTGGCCATTAGAGGAACTGCACTTTTCATTCCTTGGTTATTCCTTGAATGTTGTTGTCGTGTGAGTGATTCATCAATCATTATGTTTCTGATTTCTTTTTATTTATTTTTTTGCTGGGTACACCGATTTGTTGTCAGTGACTTCATCGTTTCCACACACTTAGACAGAAGTAAAAACATCAGTAAAAACATCTACAAACATGTAGCATGACGAAAAAAATCACAAAGTAGTTAAAGATGATTTTCCTAAACAGCCGCAAACTAAAGCTTTTAATTGGGATTTTGGTAAAGGGGATGAAATTCTCTGAGCAGCAAACAGCCTCAGAGAGGAGGGGAACATGTGTGATTGTTGACATGTCTGCTAATCCCACATCAAACCCGAATCAATTATTCATCTGAATCCTCTTAGTTAATTTGAGCTGCGTTTGTCAGCACATAATGAGAAGGATTCTGCACTTAGGAGAAAAAGCTCACTGATGATGCTGCAGGCAGGCAACCCCCCACCAAAAAACAGCCGATTCTTTCCAGTTCAGCAACACAAGTTGTCCTACAGATAAGACTACCTCTAAGATGGATGGGTGCCTGAAACATGATCTTTAAAGGATTGGCTAGCTCAGCTCAACCTAAAGACTAGAAACAGCTACGTTGAGTGTGTCCACAGTAACAGAAATACTGTTACTGTGGACCAAACCAAGATCTCAAAACCTCACAAACTGAACTCTTGAATGATGTTGAACTTTTATGGGAAGCTTGATTATTGCACTTTTTCTTTCCTTGAGCTGTTTTTAAAATGAGCATGTTGTGCATGCGTGACCCAGAAGTTCTTCGGTACATTGAAAATAGTTGAGGCTGGTGTACTGACACATTTTTTGCATGCTGTTAATCTTTCCATGGAAGCTCCACTGGGATCGCCACAGCTTCTGTACAAAAGTACAGATGCAAATGGTTTCTGTGTGAACTGCAATGACTCAAAAGGTGATGTTTCCGTGCTGATCTGCAGTTTAAAGTCACTGCTTTACCACACACACACACAGACCCTTACACGCACATTTTAAAATTAAGTTTTGCAAAATAAGGCTGTTAGAAATGAAAACAACACAAGCCCCCAAAACGGAAAAAAATACATGAGAACGACTGTGGTGATTTTATTAGAGTGGAGCTGAAATTACACAGAGATTTGATTTGTTTGAAGATGTTCTGTCTGAAGATTGGATTTATTCAGACTGCAGGAGAGAAAGGCAAAGATTACTAGTGATTAGATTACTGGTTAGGGGTCAGATTACTTTGCGTTTGCAAACCCAGCAGAGAGGGGAGTAACAAAGACCTCAGAGCCTCGTGATCAGTTCACCAGATGTGACAGTTATTAGTTTTTTTATTAAATGAAAATGAAAATCCTGTGTGTTTCTAACTATTAAAGTTGGTATTGTATTGGTTAAGATGTATAGGACTAGAGTGTGATGTACATCCAGGCCAGCTGCACTGTATGAATGATCCAACAACACAAGCACCCATTCATTCATGAAAGTGAGTGGGAGTACATCACTCTTTACTCCTCAGCTCCAGACACAGCAGATGACAAACAGAGCCACTGTCTGTTATAAATATAACTCAAGCACTCATTAAATAAAAATATGATTATACAAGAAAAATCACAGTGCAGGGAGGTTTCAGTGCTTTGGCTGGAGGGGGGGCATTTGGCACTCTGAACCTCTGCTCCTGTTGGCAAAGTTAAAAAAGAACCAAAACTTTATTAGTAATAACATTCAAACATTAGAATAACAGAACATATAATGAATGCATATTTAGAAGTTGTTCTTAACATGATGTAACACATCCTTTCTACCAACATGTGCAACACTTTTTACACTGTGGTGCTAATTTTTTATTTCTGAAATAGTTTTTGTTGTTCTCCTGTTTTGTTTTGTTTTGTTGTTGTTGTTTTTTTAGCTCGATGACAGATCTCTGATCATGATTGACGCCAGCTGCAAAGGTAGCAAAGCTAGCTTGTGATTGATCTTACTTTGCATAGTTACGCAGGTGGAAAGAATATTTGTGTTTTTTTTTCTGTACCCAGATTGGAAACTCCAGCGCTGTCGCTCTCATGGCGCTGTGCCATGGACGTGCACGGGTCATGTTTGGAACAACTGCCCTTGAAATTTCAGTGAGCCATGAGCTACTTCTGCGTTGGCCGTTATCTGTTTGTATGTTTTGTTTTGTTTTAAAGTGTACACTTTGTGTGTGTGTGTGTGTGTGTGTGTGTGTGTGTGTGTGTGTGTGTGTGT